TATATATATATTTGAAAAAGAAAAAGACCCAGAAATACCTCGCGATAGAGAGAGTTTGAGAAGTCGATAAACTGTCTCTGCAACTGGGCCACAATCTCCATAGTTCTTCTTCCTTTTGAGGGCTTTTTTGTTTTTCGTCTATGGAAGATTGCAGTGCAAATGCTACTGAAACGTTCAGAAATTATAATAAATGATTCTTCTCAAGGAATAATAGTACTATGGTATATATAAATGCAGATGTTACGGGTAGTGGGGTTTATAGATTAGGACCTAATTTCAAATTACTATTTTTTTTATTGGTTATGGGAAATTTTTAAACAAGGGTGCAATTAGATATGAAAAAAAAATTAAAAATAAAAATAATTATTCACTAATTTTACTTTTATTCTTCTTAGTTTTATCAATACAATTTAATATTTATGATTGATAGCAATCTATTAAATTTTATTTCATAAATTATACATACGTGACACTTATTAAATTATAGCTACTTGACATCTATTTTTTCAAAAACTGAGTCTGGTATAAATATATATAGTTGTTGTAATTACAAACAGAGCCCGTGCAATGCACGGGGTGCACAATTTTAACTTTATTTACTCATCCTTATAATTATATAAATGAATAAAAAAATGTATGAGATATATATAGTACGAGACCTGTGAGATCACGAGATATATTTATTTGGGGAATATTATATTATAAGATGTAATATTCAATAAAAGTTTTATATGACATAGGAAAATTATACAATAAAATATTATTCGACAAAAAACCAATCATATATTATTAAATACCTCATTGTAGATAGATATTAAATAATTTATTAGTAAAATAGTGTATAAATTGATTACAATAACAAAACAGCATGTTCACGGGATTAGTAAAAATACTCCATAGATTGAAGATTTAATTGGATTAAACATTTAAATTAATTAATTTAGATAATTTGAAATTATATAATTGAAAAGTCTTCCAACATTGTTTTGACTTTAATATATTACAGCATGTGTATACTTTAAATATATTAGTATTTAAGGAACTTTTAACAACATAGTTTTTAAAAAATTGTTTTTGGGAACTTTAAACAGCATATTTACATCACCCATAAAACATATTATATTTCAACAGCATAGTTATAGTATTATTTGAGGAACTTAAAACAACATTGTTAAATATTTACGTCCACCCATAAATTTTTTGTAAGTCGAAAGTAATTAATCCCGTGCATTTTTATTGTTTGTTTGTTCAATTTTTTTGACAAAACTAATGTCATGGATAAAACAATTAAATATTAAATAAATTAATTAAATAATATTAAATAATATGCTTTAGACAGATATAGAATGCGAATAATCCTCTCATGCCAAACAACGTGATTTCAAAATTGACTCAGTTCCAGCAATCCTATCAATATTTCATTAAAATAAATATTAAATAAAATGCTTTAAACAAAAATTAGATAAGGAATTAGATAAGGAATTTTGAATTTGCATTTTTTTAGTATAGACAGACTTTACGTCCAATTTTTTACTTCACCGATTTTATAAGATTGTTTTTTACTAAATCGATGTTATTATAGAATCAGACAAATAAATAAAGCCATTTTTAGTTTAGTAAAGATTTTACATACTTTTTTTACTTATCGGATGTTATAAGATTTTTTTTTTCTTAAACCGATTTTATAGGATATAAGACAAATAAATAAAATAATTGAATAAAATTTTGGATAGAAATAGCAATGCATTAATTACGTTGACTTTTCAACCTACTAAATTTGATAAATATGATACTTTTTATTATATATGCATAGATTATCGAGAAAATAAACACTCAATGACACTTGGTTATTTGTTTATTTTTATTTTTATTTTTTGACAACACCATATTTCTTACAACATTTTATAAATATTTAAAATTGAATGCAAACTAATTTTATTTTCCTTTTTAATCTTTTTCTATAGGTACTTTTTTATATTATATGTTGTGACTTGAACGATTTTATTATATTCATCATTTTGGGTTGTTAATTGTATGGTCTGTCATGGGGTTTTCTTTATTTAAAATAAACCTGGATAGAATAATGACAGTCTATGTGTCCGTTGATTGATTCAATGTGTTTTAGTGCTGTCCAGTTTTAGTTTTTAGTGAATATCATATCATTATATATTACTGACATCAAATATATAATCCTAAATATATGAGGTGGAGTCAAAATAATCATGTCCTAAATCGGGTAACACACCTACGTCACATAACCGAGCAACAATGAATCAGACAGGCAAGTTCTTAGTCAAGACTTATACTTGTTTGTACAATTTCATCAATTATTTATCATATAGTATACCTGATAGATTTTATTGATACTAACTATATTTGTTTTTAATTTGAGGTTTTCGAATGGAGCATGCAGAAGAAAAAGGTATAACTTACAACAGCTAAAATGAAGAACAATAACATAATTAACAGGTAAATTTAGTCATTTAATGAATATATATTATTTTTATTCTTTCAAATCTATACTTGTTTGTACTGTAAGTTTAGTCATTGGTTTTCATTGGTATTCTTTTTCAAATTGTTTGTACTGAAAACAAAACCGTAAGAAACTTAAAAATATGATGAAGAGATTATAAGTATGATGAAGAAAATATATGATGACAAAAAAAAAAAAGCTTGCGTAGGATATTCTGAGATAGAAGAATGAAATATATAGATTAAAACTGTAATAAAAGATAATGTTTGATTTGGATGAGTTTTAAAGACTTTGAGGAAAGGAAAACTCTTATTTTGTTTGACTAAAGATCTGTCTGCAATTCACACGTGATAAATCTGCTATAAATCTTTATACATTTTTTTTTAATCTATCAAGAATTCACATTATTTGGAAGATTCAACTGTTAATAGATGTATTAACTTATTTAAAATTGTTTGTACCCAAAAAAAAAACTTATTTAATTGTAAAATCTTATTCGTTTTTTATTTTTAATTATTCTATAATAAAAAAATTATATAATTTCAAATAATCTCACACTAAAAAATGTGTATATATTAATCTGTCAATATGAAATTGATGAAAAGTGTTATATATTAATCTGTCAATGTGAAACAATTAGAAGATAAATGTGTTATAAATTTGTTATTTTACATAGTTTAAGGTATTTTTTTCAGATTTTTTGGAAGATAGAAATGTTATTTTTTTTTTTAAATAATTTATTTTAAAAAACAATAATTAATGTGTTGAAAAAAAAATCAAATTGAGATGTAAAACGAAAATTCTGATATTTTTGTGGGAAAGTTTAAACAAAAAAGTCAATCCACGCCATTTAATTGTGCAAGCTATAATTAAGGAATACAAGCTATAATTAAGGAACACAAAGCTATAATTAAGGAACACTGTATTTAAGGAGCCGTTTTTTGTGCTTATTTACAATTGTTCAACTATTACTATAATTAGAATATATTTAATGATTTGGCGGGAAAAACTTTCTATATTTATAAAATGGTAATTCTTTTTATATATATAAAGATACTAAATTTTACTTGTGACATTTTCTTCTAATAACCGCTACAATTCATCATCATCCTCATCATCATCATCATTCTTTTTATTATTATTGTTATTATTCTTGTTGTTGTTGTTGTTGTTATTATTATCGTTATTGTTATTTATTTTTACATTAATCCACCCTATCCTGTTAATGATAAAATTATTTTCTTGCACTTTTCTTAGGTTATTTAAGACAAAAATCGTTATATTTATAGTTGAGTAATAATTATATTTTTTATTGTATTATTGTTCTAGCTATTTATTATAAAACCAATTATATTTTTTTTATCTGATTACGCGATTGTTTTTTAAATAAATTATTTTGTTTTAATATCATAGTAAAATTCCTCAAAATCGCATAAGAAAATGTTATAATAAATTTAATATTTTTCAGCTAATCTATATATATATAATTACTGGCTCATAAGCATTTAATAAAACCTATTAAATTATACCTACGTGGCACTTTTCCGCCAAAAACTGTTACTTTTCAATTTTATTTTTTTTATTATTTTATTATAAAAACATATTTGATTTGTATTAATGTGTTGCTATGTTAATATTGGTCAAAACCTCATTTACTGTGTAGCCGTTACATTTCTCTTTTTTCCTTATTATCTTTAGTACCTTTGAATTTCGAATTTTTTTTTTTTATTATCAAAAAATTGATTCACTCACAATATTTTATCTATTTATTCTCACTAATTTATGATACTTTGTTTTTTAGTAACTAAAGTTGTTTTTTATTTTAGTAAAATTTTTCGACAATATAGTCCTAACTACATTTAGTAAAATTTATCAATTTTAAGTGGCAACTAGATATTCATACTTCTTTAGCAAGTAGCTTTTGTAAAATCCACGTGTATTCGTTTGGAATTTCGAGACATTTAAAGGCTATTCGAGATTTGAGAAATTTTTAAATTAAAGGAATATTGTGAAATTTTAAGTTTGGATGTGAGATTTTAATGAGTTTTAGTATATGTTTATTTCTTTAGAAATTCCAACAAATCTTAGAAAGTTTTAACGAATCTTAATCTCAAATAATTAAATACATCGGGATGAATACCAAATGAATATCTCAAGACTTTTGTAAGTCTTGAGAACTCTAAGTTAAATTATACCATAATTTTCAAAGTCTTAAAAGTTCTTCAAATTTTTTTAAAAATCTCAATTAAATACACACTTAAATTTAAAATAGCTATTTTGTAAAATCCATAATAATTAATTAAATTTAAATATTTCCCATATTATATACAACACAACAAGTAAATAAATTTAAATATTTCCATTGTATATACAAATCACAAACTCCTTTACATCTGACTATACAATTCATTCATGTTGTAATAAAATCGTCCCATTAAATGACAAAAAGCAACTTCCGGAGAAAAATCGGCCACCGCCACATAACATAATCCCCCAAAATATATATATATATATATATAATTACTAGCTAATAGCATTTAATAAAACCTATTTAATTTTACCTATTTGGCAATTTAACCTTTTTCCCTCCAACTGTTACTTTTGATGTATTTAATCTTTTATTTAATT